CGCGCTGCCTCTGTGTTCCCCGCTGGAGGAGGCTTGGCCCCAGCTTACCAGTGGCTTGGGGGGTGTCCCAGCCTGCACAGCCGGGGGGATGATGGGCTACATTCCCCCCGCCCAGCCCCCAGCTGTTGGCCAGGAGCACAGGGCCGGGCGCAGCGTGGGGTGTCGCTCTGGGCTCCGGGGCAGCTGGTGGGAGCGGGAGGGTAGGAAAGGCCATGGGAGGGGGAGAGGGGTTAGCCCCCCCAATGCCATGGGCAGGCCCTGCTCTGCAACCCACTTACACTGTCATTTCAGAGCGAGAAAGGGCCTACCCCCATGGGACCGTGGGCCAGTCACTTAGCCTCTCTGTGCCTCAGTTTCCCAGCCGGCCAGGTGGGATACCAGCTGCTCCCAGGGAGGCTGTGGTGAGCAGTACGCTGCTACGCACGAGCACTGGGCAGTGGGGACCGTCCATGTGGTCTGTCCCCCCGGCCCAGCAGAGGGACGGGGCTGGTCCTGAGTCACCGCGAGACACGGGTGCTGACTCGCCCGCCGTGCAGGAGCTGGGGCCTTCCCCCATGAGACTGGTTTCCAGGGCGGGGGAGCAGGCCCCCGTGACCGGGGGTCCAGGCCTGGAGCTGATGGCGAGGGGGCGCCCTGACCCTGCAGCCAGCGCTCAGTGTGGGCCAGGCCTGGGGCCGGGCAGCTCCCCGTCCTGGGCTCGCCGCATCAGCGCTGCACGGCAAAACGAGCTGCACACATGGAGCCTGCGCCAGCACGTGGCTGCCGCGCCGAGGCTCCGTTCAGCTACGCCCGCCTGGGCCTGGCCCGTCTCGCTCCCTGCCTGGTGCCGCCCCGTGCCAGGCAACGGGAACACCCCGCGAGGGGGGCCAGGCTGTGTCGCTGAGGGCGCCTGGCCTGCACGCGGTAGGGCTGGAGCTCTGTGCCCCCCGGCCCAGGGGGCCCCCGGAACGTGGCGTGTGTCTGGCGCATCCCAGCCAGGCCCAGAGCTCGAGGGCAGGCGGGCGCCCGTTGAGCGAGGCGGGAAAAGCGTTATAAGAATGGGACACACATCAATTAGCCACCAACGGGGGCAGCGGGTTCTTAGCTACGTGGGCGCTGATTGCAGGGATGCTAATCATGCCGGGGGCTAATGGCATCAGGCGGGTCAGTGTGTCTTTGCAGAGCAAGGCAGCGAGTGAATTAATTGCCGCTAACCCTGCCTAGCGCCCGGCGCCCTCTGGGAAGGCGTGAGGCAGCCGCGGCCCACTGCGCTCTGGGCCGCTTCAAGGGCGCGTGCTTTGCTTCCCTCCCTGCTTTGCATCTCGGAGGACGGGCCCCAGGAGGGAAGCGGCAGCCGGCGCGAACGCCCCC